AAAAAAAAAAAAAAAAAAAAAAAAAACAAAAATAAAGCACATCAGTTCTTTTTCAAATGATGTTACCTTTATATCATACTCCACCAGTGAAAAACCAAAGACCACATTCTAAGCTACTGGACACAGAGAAAACAAAAATATGAAATGGATTTGGTAGAAAGGATGAGGTTAGGCTCAGGTCATTTTTGATCAATGTTCCACTGCCTGAAGATTAGTAATCTGAATGCTTTTAATTTGAGAGCATCTAGAGACAGCTGAACACCCATGCCCAGGCATAATTTAAGCTGTCAGGGGCCTCTTGTCCATACACTGATGGTAATGTGATGTAAAGCAAAGGGATGGTTACTTCTGCTTCTTTATATCCCTAGTTGCCAGCATGACATCCTCATGCATGGTGATCCTGCAATAAATATTTGCACCTGAGAATGACTTTAACCCAGGCTCTATCATCCGTATCAGAATACCAAGAAAGTTGATAAAGACAGGTTTAGGACCACAGGAATACACTAGAGTTTGTCCAATAGACTAAAAATATATAATGTGATATAATCAAATTCTTCCACATTGCTCTCTGATCTACCCATTATGTCTCTGTACCCGCTCCACCAACCTCGTCTGCTTCTTAACCTTTCTTTGTCTTTCTCTGGTTTTATATAGGTTTTAGGAGTCCCTACTGAGGATACTTGGCCTGGAGTCTCCAAGCTACCTAACTACAACCCAGGTAATACTGACCCACGCTTCTGAACAATCTGAGAATTAGCAATGCGAGGAGAGTGCTGCCATCCAGAGAGTGCATCTTGTATTGTGAAATTGCCAGCAAAGATAAATTTCTAGATTCCTGTGTTTCCTGACTAATCCTTTCATGAGAAAGACATTGGAATAGTAGTTAAGGTTAGATCAGCTCTCCAACTCCAACTAGCAAGATGAAAAATAATTTGAAATTACTATTACTGTGAATTCCTCATCCAATTCCAAATACACAATAGCTAAAAAAAAAAAAACTAAAAAGGTGGTTTGCTTTTGTGCATCATGAATATGATTGTTTGCTAGAATATCAAGCCTCATAAAGTATAGAGAGAAAGCTAAAGCATGACAGGGGAGCTGCAGGTTTGCTAGGCCTACAACAAGCCAGGTAAGACGTCTCTAGATTGTACTTAACAAGAATTTGCACATTGACTCTAAACTGGGCACTTTTTCATATCTGTCACATAGTTCATCTTCCAAAACTGTCTGCAGGGGATAGGTTTGGAAGTGTGACAAACGTACATGGGTAAAACCTTTAAGAAGTGATCTAAAGGCCATAGCAACAGAGTCAAATTACCTAACAACCACTTCAAGGGCATTAAGACAGAAGGAGGGGACAAATAATGAGCCAGAGGTTACAGAACCATATCAGAGGCCAGAGAAGCAAGAAAGGACCATGCCAAACCAAGATACTCATTGACAGGATTAAAAAGGAGGCAGATATGTATAACTAAGGACAAAGTCAGTATGAATGTGCTCCTAGACAGGGTTTCTAGTCTTTATATCCTTACATCATCCTAATTCTAAACTCCAAATTTTCCCAAATTGTTGCCATTGCAGTATTTAGTATGATATTATCCTGCAAGGTTTCATGAGAACAAGAAATTGTAAGATTAAAAATGTAATCAAAGAAAAAAATTAAGGACATAGGCTGGGAGGGTCCCTCTTATATGTCCAGTATGTAATACTTTTACTCAAACAGCTATACACAGGGGTCAGGCATCTTGAATTGACCAGGATTATGGAAGCTCCAGCAGAGAGCTACAAGACTAACTGTGAAATCTTTTCAACTGCTTTATAAATGATCATACCCATTGTTAAATCGCCTTAGTTCATTTACAAGAGTTTACCGTTTCTAACTATTTTGCTAGAGTTCAGTACCTAAGAAAAATGCCGCCCTGCCCACAGGACTGAGAAGTGCCTTTCTCCCTTTCTTGTGAGATAGATCAAAAAAGTAAAAGCTTTTCATTGCACCCAGAGTCCCATCTGTAGGAACTCCTGTCTCAAGTTACCAAGGCTTCCTGCCTGTTCTTTCTGTGCACTCTTTTCTCCACTGTGGTGAAAATGGGGCCTAGGCTTCCTATCATGGATATAAGTGAGCTTAGAGTCACGGAAAACATTTTTGTTTTTTTTTTGTTTTTTTTTTTTTTGGTTTTTCTCCGGTACCGGGAACCAAACTCACGACCTTGCGCTTGCCAGGCAGGCGCTTTGCCATTGAGCTAAATCCCCAGCCCCCTCGGAAAACATTTTTGGATAATGTCAATACAAAGTTGTGGTGGTGAGCTATGATATTCCTTCCCCAAACTTCAAGCATTTCGATTTCAGGTTGGTGCAGGTAATAAACGCAGATCCTTAATACAAAATGTCCTGATGAGAATGACAGTGATCTAAAGGCCATAGCAACAGAGTAGAAACATGGCCAAAATCTTCCTTGCCAGATTCTACACTAAATAAAAGAACTAGACCCTAATGAAACAGAGAGAAATATGTTACATTTTTCATTTTGTTGTCAAGTCAAAATGAGATGCAATTTTTTACTTATGAAAAACATTCTCCAGGCTCAATCAATAGGGCTTACACTTTGCATTGTTTTTCTAGTAAGGGCTCAATTTAATTCAGACGAGTCAAAAAATTTTAAGCACCTACTGTCGGCTCGTCACTGTGCATGGTGCTTACTACACAGATGGATACAGGGCATTCTTGGATCTCTAGAGCTTGGGTTTCATTCATTCATCCACTCTCTTTCACTCATTCTCCCTGACAGCAGTGCTCCTTTGTGAGCCTGGCTTCCATGGGCTCAGGAAGCTTGTGGCCATGTTGAGCTTGTGGAAGGAAGGGAGTTGTAACCTTAGCCACAACCAAGATGTCTAAACAAGCCTTGTCGACCTTAAGAATCCAGCATACCTTGAGCATGGGCTTAGTACTATTCATGACCCAATCATGACGTCCATGATTTAAAGAACCGTCAAGATCTGTCCAGGAACATCCGCTTATGAATCCATAAGTCCCTCTGGAGTCCACTACCCAATCATCCCCAATCCTGACCTGCTGCTGCTGCCACCACTGCTGCTTCCCATGCTTGAATTCCAAGAATTTAAGGGAAACTGAAGAGGAGATGGGCGCCAGAAACACGTTGTCACAGATAAGAACTGTGTTAACACCATTCAAAACAAGATTTCTGTTGCTTTCTTTTCATTCCAAATAGTAGTAAGAGCTCTTCAGCATTGAAATCAACCAGTTCAATCTTTTAAATGTATTTTTTATTTTTAATTAATGCATAATTATTGTCTCTATTTATGGGCTACAGTGTGGCATTTCAGTACATGTACACAATGTGTAATCAGAGTAATTGGCATACCAATCACTTCAAACATTTATGCTCCTTTGTGTTAAAACATTAAAAATCCTCTTGGCTATTTTAAAATACTCAAATATTGCCAACCATAGCTCTCCTGCTCTGCTGTAGAACATTAAAACTATACAGTATACCCCTGCACCCATTAACCATTCTCTCCCCAGTCCTTCCTTCCCACACCATCCCTAGGCTCTGATAATGACCACTCCATTCTCTATTTCTGTGAGATCAACTTTTTAGGCTCCACATATCAGTGAAAACTTGTAAGCATGTCATTTCTCCTTCTGTGCCTGACTCATTTCACTTAACATATCATCCTCCAGTTGCATTCATGCTGTTGCACATGACAAGATCTCATTCCTTTTTATGGCTAAATGGTATTCCACTGTGTACATGTACTACATTTTCTTTATCCATTCGTCTGTCAATGGACATCCAGGTGGATCCCAATCTTGCTACTGTGAATAGTACTACAGTAAACATGCAAGTGCAGATGTGTTTTTGACCCAGTGATTTCAGTTCTCTTGGATATATACCCAGTTGTGAGATTACAAGATCATATGATAATTCTATTTCCACTTTTTTGAGAAATGTCCATACTTTTTTTCCATAATGGCTATACTGATTTACACCCATCAATTCCCACCCATAGTGTGTGAGAGTTCTCCTTTCTCTACATCCTACCCAGCATTTGTCACTTTTTTGTCTTTTTTATAGTAGGCATTCTAACTGGAGTTGGGTGGTATCTCATCATGGCTTTGATTTGTGTTTTCCTGATGTTCAGAGAAGGTGAGCATGTTTCATGTGCTTGCTGTCTGTGTCTTCTTTCGAGAAATGTCCATTCTGGTCATTGGCTCCTTTCTTAATGATTAGTTGATTTGTTTTCATGCTGTTGAGTTGTTTGAGTCCCTTATGTAGTCTTCAGCCAGTACAATTTTAGGGGAGCTCAGTTGCTCTGAACTTGGGAGAACCATCCCGTGTTCATCCATATGCACTCTACCATTGCTATGCCTTGTCTAGGTTCTGCATAGGAGGACGATACAGTTCCTGTTCAGTTGATGTGCAGGTTTTCAAAAAACTCACCCAAGTGCTGACTCAGCTGCAAGGTTTCCCTGCCACTCACCTTTTCTGGGCTTTCTTCAGGGTAATAGGTGTTCTAGCCATCGGCACAGACTCTTACGCCTGATCAAATCTGGCAAGGTGAGAGACGGGGTATCAGTTTAGAAACTGGCCCCTTCATTCTTGTCTTCCTTCTTCCCTTACTTTTGCCCCCACTCCCCACTTTAAGCAAGCTGACTGAGAACTCTGTGTCCTCCACTTCAAAGGGCCGGTTGTCTTATTTTGATGTGGGCAGATTGAGAAGTAGGCTTTGAAAAGTAGGTCTTTTTTTGTTTAATCTTTTCTCCTGGGATAGCTTTCAGATCAATATCCCCACGTGTCAGTGAGGGGGTTCTGACGAGCCCGGACTCTCAGCAGGATCATTCTCGAACAGAAATATAAAAGTGAAATATTAAAAACCCTGGAACGTGAACTCCATCTGCAGAGTAGCCAGTGTCTTGCCTGCTTGTACCATGGGGGGAAAAAAAAAAGATCTTGAAAAAAAGAGGAGGAGGAAAAAAGTGCTTTGAGTACAAGGTTTACAGGCTTAGTAGAGCATAGTAACATCCCCTCAAAGAAGTGGGTGTTGTTCTGTGACCCCCCAAAATACTCCTCCTTTGACTCGGCCGCCAGAACACTCCCCCTCCCCCTGCAACACACCCCTTTTTCACATGCTAACCGAGGTGCCCTGATTGGTTGAACAATACACTGGTCACACTTGCTAAATGACTGCCATCTTTCACATAATTAGCCAAGACCCATTAATCAAACTGGCGGGAAACTGGAGCTATACTGGCCTCCTGCCATGGAGGAGGGGAGAAATTTTGGTGATCCTTCATAAGTGTCCACAGGAAGCAACAATAAAGACCGGCACGCTGGGCATTCCACCGTCGGTAAGTTTGAAAAGGGTAAAGCCCCACTTGATGCCCTCCCGAACGTGCTAGGTTTGTGGCTCAGAAGCTTAGAACAAACCAGATGTTCAATTAAAAGCTGGCAACACAGACTGTAGTGTGAATTTAAACTGTGGAGCCCTCTAGACGTTTTCACAACGTTTCCTCAGGGTCACTCCGCTCTCAGTGCCAAGCAGTTTGGGATTAACTAGACAGAGGATGTGCAAAACCAGATTGTGTGGGTTTCACTACTGGAACAAATAGGAATCCAGCCTATATAAGAAGCAGGGAGGTATTTAGGACCAGTAAAAACAAACTGGCAATGTGTTGTTCTAAGTATTTGAAGAACATTAA